ATGGTAGGTGATTGTAATAAGTGCTAATGCATAATTATTTCTAACTGTATATTAGATCTCGCCGCAGCACGCGTGAAATCCGGTAATAATGCAGTATAGGTACTGTATATTAATCTTTCACTTTGACACACTTTCGAATTTATAATATTAATTATGCAAATATAGATGATTTTCCCTTATAAAACCTTCCTAAAACAAAAAAATATATTAAAACTTTGTAACTACGTTGTCCACTAATAGATTAAAACTTAGATGTAAAGAAATAAATGATGATGATAGCAAATTGTATGAATTTAAAAAGAGATATAAATTTCTGTAGATGAAGTCGGTATATCGTCTAGCATATTACACACATATTATGCTTTGTGGCTTTAAAGATAACCTACAATGATCAAGGTTTGTAGGTTGTCTTTAAACCCACAAAAGTATCGAAATAATTGGACACACCGAATGATAAGCTCTCATTACAAAGGCGATTGGGAATAAAAACCAAATAACCCATTTGAGCTTCACAGCCTACCTACTATTTAACCTTATCAGGTGTTAAAGTTGAAATCTTTAGAGATTTACCCCGGATCTGGAAAAGGGCAAATTGCGCCATTAGGTCAGTATCAAGTATATATATATATCAACATTATATAGGTATAGCTTGTATTACCTAATGGAAGAAAAGTGCAGTATTATTTTGTTTTCATATTTATTTTATTTTACACAATTTAATATTTTCGTTGCAGTAATAGAAGTTATATTCACATACTCGCTATGCCCGCTGTTTTAACCGTGTTGAATTTCAGTATATATATATAGTATTTCAATAAAAAATAGGTATAGCCTATGTGTTATTGTAATACATAAGCTATAATACTGTAAAGTTTCATTGAAATCCAGTAGTTTTTGCTTGAAAGAGTAAATGTAATGTAATGTAATGTAGGTTGGACTCCATTTTCCGCAATTGGCCTCTCATTAGAGCCGTTGTGCGTGCAGAGCTAGGCTACTAAAGTAGCCAGCCAAGCTCCTCCCAGAAGCGCAGAAGTCTCCTGGTGTCTTCGCAGGCTTCACGGAGCGACCTCACCGTTCCGAGGATTTGATTGCGTTGTGTGGTCACTGCTACGCACTCCAGGATTACGTGAGCAGCCGTTTCCTCGGCTATAAAGCAGCCCCGGCACAGGGGACTGTCTGTAGCACCTATTGTGTACAGATGTTTGTTTAAGGGACAGTGGCCCGTCATTGTCCCTATTATTATTTTTATGTTGTGCCTATCCAGATTTAGTAGGCGTTTTGTCTTTATTTGTCGTTGGTTTGTTCTAGGAATTGCCACTTTTGATTGTTTGCAATCGGTGGTTTGTTTCCATCTTTGGTTTTGTATCCCAGTGGATCTTTGGCGAATCCAGGATCGAAATTGTGAGAATGGCAATGGCATGAGCGGGAGGGGGCCTGCTACCTCCATGCCTGATCCTCTTCTCGCCAACTCGTCCGCGGCATTATTTCCATATGATCCACTGTGCCCTTTTATCCACTGGATGGTTACACCGCTGTGCTCTGCAACTTTTCCATGATATTGTAACATTCGATTATTAATTTGTTGTTCGATTTCCTGTTCTGTAGTGCTTTTAGCATGGGTGCACTGTCCGATATGAGTATGAATTTTATATTGAAGTTGTTGACACCTAACCTATGCACTGTTCGTGCTGCCTCAGTCAGGGCAACGCATTCACATTGGAAAATGTAACTGTGTGTACCGAGAGATATGTATAATTTCATGTTGAGGTTAAGGGAGTGTGCTCCAGCTCCTGAACCGTGTATATGCGTAGTTTATTTACTGCAGATTGGTCTTATTCCTCCTGTTTCAATTGTATCTGGTATTTTCTGTTAAATGAGTGATATGTTTGAGTTCTGTCACACGGAGCGGCAATCAAAGGTTCGTGTTCAATTGCTTGGTTCAGGATGTAAGTGTGAGAACTGTTATAGTTTTTGCCCTATAGACCAAGATAGTATAGTCTTATGGCAGCTATGGCTGCCTCCTGTTGTATGTATATATCGAGGGGTGTTATGTTGAGGGCTATTTCAATTGCTGTTGTTGGGGTAGTTTTCATACATCCAGTGATTGAAGAGCATGCAAGTCTCTGAAAGGACCTTAGTTTGTTGATTATGGTCGTGAGTTTCGACCTTGTCCACCAAACCAAGGCCCCATAGACGAGCATTGGTCTTATCACTGCTGTATATAGCCATAGTGTTATTTTCGGTGTAATACCCCACTTGTTTCCTTGAAAGAGTAACAAACATCCATCCACTTACAAACTTTCGTGTTTATAATATTATTAAGATTAAAATCATTTAAAATGTACATATATTGTACATGCGGACAACAAAACGTAATCATAGATGGTATCATAATTACTGCACTATTTATGGCTCCCACATTAGAAACACAAGTAGTTTTATTAATACCTAACTTATAAATATAAAATATTCCAAAATTTATTTTTATTTATAGACTCCATTGCACTAGATATAAATCTATATATATAAATAAAATTGAAGTGTCTGAAATATTGAAATAACCATTTTTTACTATCTCTGGAATGGCTGGACCGATTTTGACGAGACTGACTTTTGGCAGGTAGCTGATGTAATAAGGAATAACTTAGGCTACTTTTATTTTAGAAGAATAAAGTTAATTTCCACGTGGACGAAGTTGCGAGCAAAGCTAGTATAATATAAAAGTATAAATAATACAAACAATTTAAGGATTCTAGTAGGTATAAAAAGCGGATTTTTAACTATGCAATGTCTGTAATCAAGACAACCATTGGGTAATTCCAGAATTCGCAATTATGGAATGAAAATATAATATAACAAAATAATAGTCATTGAGTGTATAAAATAGGATAATACATATGAACTAACTACTGTGTATAAATGTCTGTTACAAGGATACAAACATTTTGTAAATAAAAGATATTTTTTATATTACCGAATAGTCAGTTCCAAGTCTACACAAAGTTTTGTAAATCTCGCCTTATTCAAATTTGTTATCACTGTATTTGTAAGATATGTTCAAATGTACAAAGATGTTTCATAAATAGATTATAGACATAATATTGTTTTAACTACATTAATATCTAGAGTTCATGACAATAAACTTAAGTGGTTTAAATATAGATTATAAATATTATAATTAAGGTACAGCGTACGTTTCGTTGCATTTTCAAAGATGTGCTAGTGAAGATCGGCACTTGACGTGTCTTCAAAGCGCAGGCGCAAACCACAGGGCCGTGTCACATTATTAAAAACGTTAAGTTTAAGTTAATTATATTTTATGTATGTATATACTTAATTTTAACAACCAATTTTTCCTCAAATATTATTCGCTTCAAATACCTCATTATGTTAAGTAGTTAATTATTCATTAATCTACAATTCGAAATTGGAACATAGATACATCTAATTTTTAAAAATGCTACAATAAATAGTTATACTATTATTTTACGTGCTATTATCAGATCGTCTGATCTAAGTAGATCTTATTATGCTTGACAATTAGGATATCAATTATATATCTATTAATTACTTAAGTTAATTTTATGATTCACAAAATATTTAAAGTGTAATATTACTGAAGGCAGTATCAGGTGTATATGTACGGTTTGAATATTTGATAACAGTAGGTACTTTGAGATAAAATGAAATATACTTACACATACTACTTAAAAATTAAATCTTTCCTATGTATAATATTTTTATGAAACTTTAAAATTACTAGTTCGATTTGAAATAATTCTTTCATTTCAATAGCTACATTATCAATGAAAAGCAGTAAGTTTGTAAGAATTTAATTAAGGTGTCTGACTTGATTATTTTAATTAATGTTATAATACTATATTATATATATATTATAGAATAACTGTAGTCACTAATTCTATTAGAATCAATTACCTTAATACCACAGATGATCTAAAAACCGATTTTCCCACGGAGCGTTAATTTGTGCAGTTCAAGTCTTATCGTCTCCCGAAATACATTGTTATCTCAGAGAATTCACTAATTTACAATCTACGAATGAATATTTAATAGGAGTGTGTCACCCCTGAAAATTCAGATTCTCGTAGTACGCGGTATAGATTAAAGGTTTTTCACCGATTCTATGCAGAAGAGACACTGAATATACACATTTATAAAAGCATCTGTGAGGCCATAGTGTTTTTTTTTTGGTTTATTTGTTAATACTATTTTGAATGTTATGCAATGTAGGCAGTAAATATTTTGTTACATAATTACTTTCAGTTGTGTAATCGTTAACAAATCCCATGATTATGATGGCGATGTACGGTCATGGATTTCTGAACTCACGGGATCTAAAATTATTTTTACAGCTAGTTATTTGTCTTTTTTCATCATTAAAATGGGTTATCAGGATCAGAAGTTTACTGTTTCTTACCTTTTTCATTACATATTGCAATCTGATAGTACTCAACTATTTGTACATTAAAATTAAATAAATTAAAACTTGCTGAATTATTATTATTAAAATATTACTAGGTGCTTAATTAATAAACGTGTTAAGACGATGCCCTCTGGTAACAAGAGATATGTTAAGTGGCCTTCGAAATACAGGAAGGGTTCTGACATGGCTAATTTACGAACAAATATTACGCACATCAGAATAAAAGTTACTGTTCTGCCTATTTCAGCATCTACGCCTTTCAATGGCTACGTGAGGGGTTGAAGGGGTGACGAGGAGCGGGGAGGAAGCGGGCGAGAGACGCAGCCTCCCCGGCAACGATTACTGATTAGTGTGCGACTGCCGGCGTGAGCGGCGGGTCCGCCCGCTTGGTGTACCCGCGATGCCGCCACGGTCTCCCGCCAACGACCCTCCAACCCTCAATGGTCATCAACTGATCCGCATCTCGCGGACAGTTCTGGTTGTCCGGGTAACCTTTCAATTCCGTGCTGTGAACTGATTACGCACAGAACAGCTGATCGGTCGGTCACGCCTGTACATGTGCTCACACACTTACTACGTTTGTGAAATATTGTATATGTGTCGTTGACGTTACCGTGCATGTATGGAATGACACTTGCGTATCTATTAATGGCTTTTTCTCGGTGAGTTCATTACCACTTCTGTTTATGTTTTAGTCAATATTTTAGAAGTCAGGTATGTTTAAATCACAAAATAGTATGGACATTGTATCAGTTGTTTATATTAATCAAGGAATGTAAACTTTGAAATATTTGTGTCTAAATTAATCGTATAAGTGTTAAAGTTACACTATTTGTTTGGTTTTACAGAGTAATCAACTTTTAATACTCTTGGTATATTGACAAATTTAACACCAAGGTCCAGGTTACTTTTTCAATTAGTAAAATAAATTTATCTTAAATTACATTTACTATTTAATATCTTCTAGAAATTAGGATTTATGCTTCCTGTTGTTAAATAACAAACATAGCTACAGTTAACAGTTTACAATAAATTAGAACTTACTCTCGATATTGTAGAACCTATTGCATGTATCCAATAGTTGTGTACAATTAAGTTTAGGAGTTGGTAAACTTCGAAAATTGATTATACGGATGCTTAAATAACTTAGATTTTAGATCGAGATTTTCCCGAGATTATTCTGGAGATTGTTTACGGCACGTGGTTCCTAAAAAAGGGGTTTAATGGGCTTCTTTAAATTAGGTAACGTGGAAGCAATGAAGCATATGGTCTGTTGCTTGCCTAATGGTAATGGTTACCAGAGCCGACGCCTAGAACACTAGGGGTGTCACTCGCTTAATGGTGACCCATGTAACTTGATGATATTAATATAAGCTACTTACAATAATTGCTGCACCTTTTAAATTGAAACGAGGATATATGAGCATCAATAGGAAGTAATAGAGGTACTCAATACCAAATAAATGACGTTTTTATCAAGTTGTTCTCTTACACAAGGAACTACATTTTTTTTATTTAGAAGAATGATATGATTGTTTATGCATGTAATAAGAATATATACATACCACTTCCTGTGTCATGCTGTTTTAAGTCGACTGGCAGATATCTTTTAGAGATAAGTCTGCTTTGCTAAATAAAAAAATATATAACACACTTTTCCTGTAGCCACCTATTAATATCGCAAAAGATCTGTTATTCTGTGGGTGAGTAAGTTATCAGGCAATAAGAGATGTAGGCGAAATATTTAATTTAGGATTTGGCCTTTGAATATTCCATATTTGCGTAAAATACTGTTATCTTATCTGCGTAAAACACTGAATAAATAACATACCACATTCTAACATTTTTATATTAATCTTCGTTAAGCTATGTAAACAAAAACTTATAGGAACAGAAAATGGCTATAGCCTTATTATATCATATTAAAACCACTTATTACAAAATTGCACCCAATCTTAAAGACTACAATCTTAAAAGTTTGCGTAAGTTTGCTCGTACTGCAAGCATCCATTAAAATAAGTTTGTAAAAATTTTCTTTAAAGTTTTAAAGAACATGAAATAATTAAAATACTTCTAAAATATGAATAATATTTGAAATTCTAATTAGAACAGATGATATAAAAGCCTTAATAAGCGATTTCATAAATATTCATAAACATCCACCATATTGTGTAGGTACAAAATATTTTGATATATATTCGAATATCGGCTTGATGTTTTCATTTCAACGGTGAAGTTCAGTGTGTGCGAATACGAACATTATTCAATTTTGTGGTCTCTACAAAAAGGGGATCGCGACCCGGCCATTCAAACTTAATACACAAATCATTATGTTTATGCCCTTGATATTTATTATGTATGGTACTTGGTATCCTTGGGTTTATAGACGCACGTGTATATGTACATAGTACTTAAATATGTAATAATAATAACTTAGACAATTTACAGAACGCCAAACTAAGTCTAGTCCCAAAGTAAGCAGTAATGTGAGTTCTAAACTATTGATAGAAATACTTTTTTTGTACAAGCAATATACTATAGAATACAAATGTTTGTACCGCGCCAGAATTGATCCCGTGACCTAATAAAGATGATCGCATAATTCGATTGCAATAACCAAATTTGGATTTTTATTCTTACCGTTCTAAATATATTCAAGCACTATATTTCCGAATTTAATAAACCTGATTCGCACAAAAGAAGGGAGGAGCGCTTGCTAATAATATTAGAAGGAAAACTTGAAGCGAATAAGGTGAAATAATGTAAGATAAACAGAAGTTACACCAGGCGGTATCTGAAAAAATTACGGGCAATAAAACGGGAGCGTCTGGATTTTCACAATTTATAAAAATATTTGATCTCAGGTTCCAGTCAAATATAGTGGTGAGTAAAAAGTATTATTTTAAAAGTAGTAGATATTATTTTGACTGTCTAGCGGTTTAGCACACCGCCTTACTTCCGATGGTCGCGAGTTCTATTCTTTGCATGGAACAAACATTTGTATTCATGAGTTGTTTGTACCGGTCTGGGTGATTTCCATATATAATATGTATGTATTTACAAATAAATAAATATCTATATCTCTGTATGTATTTGTATCACTTATCTAGTACCCATAACACAAGCTTTAGCTAACTTAACTTGGGCTTAACTTGGGCCTAGATAGCGCTGTGTGAATTGTCCCGAGATTATTATTATTATTTCATATAAGACTATAAAAATATAATATATATATATATATATATAGGTTTCTATACAATATAGTGTATTTAACACGGTAACGTTATACCTAACACATACTCGAAGTATAATTTGGAAAAATTATGTATATTACTTGGTCACTTTTATATATAAGAAACTCAAGCAAAATTTTATATTTGAGAACAGTACAGTACAGATCAGAGAAAAATGCGTCTTGACGCATTGATCAGTTTCGGTTTCTCCATTTATTTAAAAAGATATGGTTACCTACTGTTAGGTATGTGGGTGCTTTCTATTTCTCCTGATCACAATACGGTGATTTGACTGGTATAAATAGTAATATGTTCATATCCATTTCTCCATATTAGAATTAAAGAAAAACATACACTAACTTTCACCTTTATAACATTAAAATTGATCTATAATTACATTACTGTAAATACTTCTGTTAAACTGTAAAATCATTATGTTGTTGATATAAGTAAAAAAATTGTGAACTTACGGATTTCGGGAGGTCACCACTTAAACCGGCGCAATTGGGCTCGGCTCGTAAGTCAATGTCTGTAACAGGCGCGAACGCCAGCTTAATGCCGGCCAATTATCCTTTCTACCCTTCATGAGAACTATTCGATGACTATGATGTGGTGAACTAATTTCTGTAATCAACCTTAGAAGCAATCTGTAGGTAAACGGGAGCGCTGATTTTATTTGTAGAATTTATTGAGAGAAATTTGTACAAATCGTGGCTTTTGTGTGAGATAATGATTAGCTTAATACATCAGTCAAGGGTTAACTTTATTTGACTACAGAGAATTATATAGTAAGTACAAATTATATATATACTATCTCGGTAGCGAGATAGTATAATTTGTTTGCGTTACGTTTTCTTTGGATGCATGAATGCATATTATGTTTACATATATAAACAGCGATATTCTTAAAGAGGTGTTACCGAAATTGTCTGTTTAAATTAGCAATAATTAAGTATTTATGTGATATATTTTAGCAAGAAACCAGATTGGCTATTCATTTACCACCAGCTCACTGCACTTCATTGCTTTTTATCAAAGCACGCCACTGGGTGCTATCTTCAGTCCGTCGCTTCTAATTATTACCTACATTACGTACATAGTTACTTCAATAAGCTGCTAGTTTTCGTAGATGAGGCTTAGCGATACACAGTTTCACTTCAGAATGTCTCTGCTACTGCAACGGATATCAATTCAATCACAGAAATGATCAACCCACTGCCATAACAAGTTGCAAACTCGTTAACGCGAAAATAGACTTTGTTCTTTAAGAAATAAAAAAAAAGTTAATTATTTATAATATACATGCGAAAATCTGTCTGTCAGTATGTATGACTGTTATCATGCCTAAATGACTGAGCAGTTTTTAATATTTGATTTGAACAGAGCTTGTATCACGAGAACGAGCATAGGCTATCTTTTGTCTAAAAAAAAGTAATTGAAGTCGCGATTTATACAGTTTTCATTTATATATGGGATATTTTCTGCTAGACTTTTATAGTCTAGATCAAGACACCTGAGCGTGAAGTTGGTTTTTATTTTAAAGATCTATTTAACATAATATTAGACCATATATAATGCCGAGTCAGCGCAAATAATCTGACTGCGCGATCTTGTAACTCTGCGCCGTTGACTTGCCAGAATTTATTATCCTTTTACTTTCTTACCCTTTTTACTGATGTGACGCCGTGAGTAGCGTTTATGTGAGTAACGATTTCATTGTGTCTCGTTTTTCCAATAGACATAACTAAGCGCAGAAAGAATAAAGACCATTATTTTATACATGGCTATTATTGGTATTTATAGGATATATATTTATAGAATATATATACTTATAGAAATAATAAGATTACTATTTCTATAAATATCGCAGCTTCTAAATATAATTGTCTAATTTCCATGCACTATGCTTGTATTACCTAGGAGTTATATAACTCATTTGTAAATGTTCCACCCGAGAACGTAAACTAAAGTGAAAATAGTACGGATAGTAACTCTACATCAATAAACGTAATAAATAACAAGTAATGTTGAAAATTAACTAATGTGAAAAAAATATTATGTTTTAGTATAGTGCATTCTATTTAATATGGTGAAAAAATATTTCACAATAAGTACCTATCTAAGAAATAATTCCTGTAGATATGTATGTACCTACCGGATAGTTAGCTATCTGGCTAGGCTTTAGTACCAGGTAAAACAGACGGTTTCGTTCATTACAATGCGCCAACAATAGACCCTCCAATAAATTAGATCCTGTTTGTTAAATTAGAATAGCTCGCGTATAAAAGAGGGCGAATTTAAATAGGGAAGCGTCGAGTACCCGTCAGTCGTCAGGCGTCACGTTTCAAGATGGCGGTCGCACGATGGCTGCCACTTTAGGCGCGAAACGTGACAGGAGGTTATGTTCAAAATCAAAATAGGTACTTTAC